TGGTTAGAGCCTTATGGCATCACCAAGCCCAGACAGCCTTGGACTTTTTAATCATTGTATGATGATATTTTCAGAACACTGTTTGAAGTAACTTTCCAATAGAGATAACGAATAAAGTCTTTGTGAAAATAGGTGCTTCAGAAGCCCCACTCTCCTTTTTTGTCTGAATTGTCAGGCTTGATTTTTGCCCTGACTCTAGTTGTATGTCCTCAATAAGCTGTGTAGCCTTGTGAGTTCCCAGGGCCATGTCAGTGACACCTGTAGAGAAGCCCGTGCTTGTGGTTGCAAGGCATGAATAAGGGGTGTGTGCACAGCCTGAGTGGAGGAGGCTCGAAGTTGATCTTCCCTTCTTCCCTGCCATTCCCTTCTCAGGGAGACTTGGAGGGTGGCTTCGTTTCAGGCAGTGGCTCTCCGCCTCACCTGCATGTTAGAATCACTTGGGAAGCTTTGAAAAGTCCCTGTGCCCAGGCCACACTTAGGTGCATTAAATCAGATTCTGGGTGGGGGAGTAGGAATGAGTAATCATGATGCTCTGTTCTCAGGCCTGCACACCTAAGGCTAGGGTGGCTCAGGGGAGCCAGGTGCTGCTGCTGGGCTGAACTGGCCTGAGAACTCCATTCCCACACACCCTATGTGGCCACCAGCCTGGCTCCATCCCAGCCACTGCACCCTGCACTCAGAGGACATGAACGGTGAGGCCACTGGTGAACAGTAACTGGTGACACATGGGATTTTCTATCCTTCAGTCAAGGGCTCCCCAGACAGATTCCTTCTGTAGGTCGTGGTTTGGGAGGGGGACAGGGGTGAGAAGGGGTAATGGAGTAGTTGCTAGTAGATTTAAAATTGAGCAGGAGATGTAATCAAATGGTAGTGATTCCCTGAATGCTATGAATAGAAGGATCCTAAAGTTTATTGTGGGCTCAGCCAGAGGGAGTCTCTGCTACAAGGCTGGGAGGGAGAAGGGGTCATTTCAGGTTCATGGTGTCCACCGTGGTTATCACGAGTCTGTGGAGTCCACCGTGGCCATTCCAGGTCTGTGGGAAGCGTTGCAGTTCTCAGAAAGTTTTCTGTACTTCTCCAAAGAGAAAAGGGGATCCAGTCACACAGTCTTCCTCAGGTCAAGCTGTGCATTTGGCCAACACACTTAATGATTGGGTTCCTATTATAATCATTAGTAATGATGATGCAAAAAATTAGTGCTTTTTAAAGAATAATTTGGAGCATGGGTGTTTTAATGAGTCACAAGTTAGGGGAAAATTCCATTCTCTCTCCATTTTGATACTTTTTTGGAGAAGTTGTCAGCTCTATTATCTTGCTTATATTTTTATGAAGGTTTTAATTTAAGGATCCCCAAAGAAGCCAGGTTTTTTTTAAGGGGATAATGTTGCTCACTCCCACCCCACCCACCCTCCAGCCAGGTTTGTTAAGGAGAAGAAGCCAAAGAGCTGAGCTGCCAGAGGCAGCCTGGTGCCTAGGCACTGTCCCAGCCCACTCAGCCAGTGCCTGCACTATGGCCTGGGAGAAACCTGTTTCACCCCTTGTGGCCCAAGCTTGCTTATTTGTGAAAGGTGACCGACAACAAATCAGAGATTTGCAAGCCTGGGATAGCCAGTGGAAAAACTCAAGGGCTCGTTAAAAATTCGAGTCTGGGGCCCACTGTAGGGCCTGCATTTAACCAGGTCTCAGGATTCTTAAGTGGCCATGAGACTGACTGTTCTTCAAGTTTCCTTCCTAATCATAAATGTTGTGATCCTGACGTCACTTCTGCCAGTGCTCCCACTTCCCCATCGGGGAGGGTGTGGGAAGTGCTCTTGGACCAGGACTGTGATTAGGGCTCAGCCTCCTCTTCACCAGGAGGGCAGGTTTGCATCACAGTCACTACAGGGAAGACAAATGAGATATTCTTGTTTTAAGTCGCATGACCCCATACTGAGGGTTACAGACTCAGGAGTGGTAGATAGCAATTAGTTTACCTAAGAGAAGCTATCTTAGGGCCAGTCAGCCAGTAATGAGTATCTGTGGCTCTGACTCCATTTGCAGCCAAGGGAGGTAGAGGCCTGCCCCATTTACACGGAAAAGGTGTGGGTGTCAGCCACTGACTTCATGACAACTTAACTTGTCTCAGCAAAGCAGGCTGTTGCAGCTCATTTCCTCCAAATCACTTGGGTTTTTCTTTGGACTTTAGCTGCAGGTTTAAATTTCTGGTTCTGCCATTGGCTTAGGGTCTCCCAGCTGGAGACTGTGGGCCCAGGCAACCCAGGGAGTTGAGTTGAGCCCCCCTCCATATCATGGCCGTGGGAGGGACAGTGCCCTTGGAAGGAAATCACCTGGTCTGCCACTGCCCTGTAGAGGCCCTGAGAGCACAGCCTTCCTGTCCCCTCCTGCTCTCCTGGCTGCCAAGTTCGCCTTGAGTCATCCCATGGCCCTGGCCCAACTTGGGGATCACAGAACTCCAGTGAGGCTTGATCATTCATGGCTTTAAAAGAAGCCTTGCTCCAGGGCAGGTGAAGGAAAGAGCAGAAATGTGCAAATGGCTCCTGCCTGGCCTGAGGCAAGGGAGGTCTGGAGGGTCCCTGGCCATTCTTTCTACCTTTGCCACCAGCAGTGCAGTTCAGCGCAGATGACCTTGTGACCTCGCGGACATCCTCAGGCTCTTAGGTGCTGCCCTGAGCAAAGCAGGCACTGCAGGTGGGAGGAGCCCAGTCGAGTGAGTTCTGAGTTCCTCCCCCGAACTTGGGTGAAGCCCCCAACCCTGGGCCTGAGAGAAGGGGCTGTGGCCCTGAAGAAGCCCCTCATGGGCACATCAGTTATAAGGACAAGTGGGGGGCACCCCAGAAGCAGCCCCAGGAAGTGAGACAAAAGTCACATTGGGTTTGGTCATTCGGAGGAGAAGGCCCATCCACCCTGGCTGCTGTGGAGCAGGGCCCCTCCCAGAGAGCTGCTGGACGCTTCTGTGCCTGACCTCACGGGGCTTCCAGCCACACCTGCCTTGAAAGGAGCCTCAAATGCTCCCATTTTTATTTTCTTCCCCATGTGGAATGCCAGGGAAATGTGGCTGCAAGGTTCTGTGACAAGCTGGGGAATGTTCTGTCTTCATTACTGTTTTAGTTTAGTTAAATTTCCTGGGCACAGTGGCTCATGCCTGTCGTCCCAGCTACTTGGGAAACTGAGGCAGGAGGATCCCTTGAGCCCAGGAGTTCGAGGCTGCAGTGTGATCACACCTCTGCACTCCAGCCTGGGCAAGAGTGAGACCCTCTTAAAAAAAAAAAAAGACATTTTAAAAGTCGTATAAGTATTAAATGATAACAGCTAGAAGAGTCTGCAGTGAACCTGGGCTGAAATATTATAGTTTTTATTTATGGTGATATTTTATATCTGGAGTTAACAGCATGGGCTTGTGGGAAGACCTGAAATGTTAGTCATGGAAGAGGTAGCAGATGCAAAAAACTCCGGGGAGACTTTTACAGGGCCTGGCAGTTCAGCCTCTCTAGGTTTGTGAACTATTAATCAAACCATCTCTATCCCCCTGGCAGGATGAAGGTTATAGAAATCTTACAGTGGTGGGTCATTTGGACAGGGCATGTCCCTGGGCCCGTGTTAACTCCTGTGTCTACCCCCTACTCCAGGCCTGCTGAAATGCTGTGGCCCCTGCAGAAAGAACCCTGTCACCCCCACTGCTGATAACCTGGTCACCTTGACTCTCCGTAGCCCCCTTTCTTATCAAAAGTCATCTCCTAAGCCCTGCTTCGACATGGATAAGAAAGAGCCAGCCAGTCCCCTCCCCAAGCCAAATGCAGAGGGCTCAGCTTCCAGGAGCCATCACTGAGCTGCCCCATGGGAGACAGGCCAGGCTCAGAAAACAGGAGAATGGTCAGGAGTTGAGAGCGCCTTCCTGAGGCACTGCAGAGCTAAAGGATCCTTAGAAGGGTAAGTTAAAGCAGCAGACAAGGGATTTCGATAGACAGCCTATGAAAGCGGCTTCTCCCACTGAAAGCCACAGGGAGCACGGTATTGCTTCCAGCCCTGTGTGGCCCTCGGGGCTCTCAAGATGAGTAGCCAGGTACTGGGGGCACCGGCCGCGTTTGCACTGAAGACTTTTGTTTTTCCATAAGTGAATCACTGTTATTGAAAATCTGTTTGAAGCCAACTTCCACAGTATTTTAGTTATTCATTTATTCAACAAATAGGGCAGAACTGCAGTGGTGATTTCTAGCCACAAAACTGAAGTGTCTGGGAACTTCAGGGCTGGGGTAGGGGAAGGTAGGAGCGGCAGAACTGCCCCTCACACCGCTGCCTGGCTTGTGGGCACACGCACTCCCTTCTGACACCTCCCTGGAAGTCTCCTATCCTGCCCTCCAGGAGGGCGCCTCTATCTCGATGTCACCCTCACGGAGACTTAATGGGTTGTTCCCAGTGAGGATGGGGGCAGAGGGGTGAGGGTAAGTCCTGTGGCTGTACTAGGGACAAAAGGCTGGTGAGAAACATCTGATGATTTGGGGCATCTGTTCTGTGCCAGGAACTTCGTGGACAACAATACTTGCAGCCACCCTGCAAAATATGCATTCTTGCACTCACTGCAGATTTGGAAACTCCGGCTCAGTGAGGTCAAACTGCCAGGGTCGCTCAGTGCCCAGGGGCAAAGCAAGCACTTGGTCCCAAGCCTATGCCCCGTCCTCTCTCAGGCCCTGTCCCCCTATTCCTCTCATCCTGGCCATCCAGGGAGGAGACACCAGCTGCTTCTCATTTCAGTGTCCTTAAAATCCCTGCTGGTCTGGGCTCACACAGTGCGACATTGCATTTCCAGCACACCAACCGTCTGCCATCTCCTCAGAGTCAGACCCAGGGACTTGCTGGAAGCTGCAGGCAGCATCAGAGTCACCACTTCCCTGGGGTCAAAGGCGCTGGCCAGGCTTCCATAGAGAGCAGAGACCTCTGCCACTACTTAGGTGCCACTCCTTAGGCTTCTGTGGCTCACCTGGTGTCCTATTTTCTCTTAACAGCAAATGAAGCTCGTGACCGAGAACCTGAAAGAGGAACCAAAGGAAAGCGGGAAGGAGAAGGCAACCTGAGAGCCCGGTGTGCCCAGCTGCCCTGTTGGCAGAGGCCTGTGTGCCACACCCACCACGGTGGTGGGGGATGGGTACTCGGGGCAGCATCGTGGCTCCTGAACCCAGACCCAATGCTTAGCCAAATGAAGTAGCTCCCATGTGACAAGCACCCGTCTCAGTGTCGCAGTGGCCCAGCTCAGGATCCTTGGCAGTTCCTGGCAGTTCCCCCAGCCCCACCCTGTCTGTTCCTTCCCAGGCCCCACACACTGCTCCAGCTGCCAACTTTGCTGCAAAGCCACTGCCATCCTTGAGCCTCTCACCATGAGTGAGCCACCAGCTCTCCATGTTCCCCTCACAGCAGTGTCACTCCCGGCCCCACCATGGCCCAGGGACCTGTGGACAGGTTGGGGATGGGGTGTGTACCCACTGTGCTCATCACAGGAGCCTCAGTTGAGAGCGGGGTACAGTAAGGCAGTGCTTCCCACGCTGGACCTCTTTCCTGGTTCTCTTTTGCAATATGTTAACAGACCCTTTATCAACATAAACAATAGTAACTGAGCTGTTAAAGGCAACCTCTCTGACTCCTCTTGCCCACATGGGGACTGTAGTGGGCTTCCCTGTTCTGAAACAAGCATGGGTGAGGTCACTGAAGGTGGAGTGGTGAGATCAGGAGCCCAGGGTGGGGGGCTTGGCTGGAGGCCAGGCACCAAAGCTTGTAGCTGAAGACTGGGCCATTTTTGAGAACGGCTGCTGCTGGTGGTGCCTGCCTACAGGGACACCAGGGCTTTCAAATGCAGGGTGTACCCATGGTGCCAAGCCAAGGGCCAGCAGCCACTCCTGGTGCCCTTGCCTGGGCTTGGGCTTGCAGAGAAAAGGGCCCTCCTTGCCCAGTGGTGGTGCCCGCCTCCCTAGCTGTGTCCATGGACTGCCCTGCATTCGCAGGCACAAGCATGCCATGTGCTGCCCACGTATACAGCCCTTCCCACCAGCACTGGCTATCCTGCTGTAGCCAAGATGCTGCAGACCCGTGGGCACCTTCACTCGGACAGCAGCAGATGCCCTGGCCCACCCGGAGAAGGTGAAGAGCCGGGAGGGCCGCCGTGCTTCCTGGTTGGCAGAGGCCTGTTTCCCTCAGCTCAGGAGTCAGGCACCTTGATCCCTCCCCCACCTCAGAGATGGGGCAGCCTCCTCAAGGCAGCTCAAGCACCACTTGTCTTTGGAGGTCCCGACTCTCCCTGTCTGCCCCTTCATGGGTGTTTGTGTTGGTCCTGCGAGCCCATCCTGTTTTCCAGAGTGGACACGCGTCAGTGAGTTTTGCCCCTGCCTTTACATGGGATGAGCCACTCCAGGGCCTTGTTATTCAGTGGTTGTTCAGTGTTTGATGGACAGTTTCTAGAACAGGCTCATGTTTTGAAATGTCAGTGAATGGCAGCCACCAATATAGGCCTGAGTCTTGAGACCCCAGGATCTTTACTCTGTTTCAGCCTGGGTGCCTGTGTTTGCTGGGAAAGGAGAAAGTTGAAATGGCGCCCTTGGCACCAGCTCTTGGTGTCCCCCCATCCCCCAGAGCCCGGCTTTGGGAGTCAGTCGCATGAATGCAGTTGGTTGTGAACCAGTGGGTCCTGGATGCCCGGAACGTCAAGCCACCGAATCACTTGCCGCCTGCAGGGCCGCGGAGCCAGACAGCCTCTTCCCAGCACTGTGACTGTGCCCTTCCCAGAAGCTGCCCATCTGCCCTTCCTCAGCGTCTGATTGGGCACAACTACACCGCTGAGCTAAGCCTTAGCCAGTCACTGCACAGGGGAGAACGGGACCCTCCAATGGGGCCAGACCTCAGGCACAAGGCCACGGGGGGGTGGATGTGGAACCAATCGGGTTGTGTCAAGAGGGATATTGGCAGGAGCGGGAGGTTGTGGCGGTTTGCTAGGCTCTAGCTGGCTGGAGGTGTGGCGAGTTCCTCTCGCTATCCCCTGGGCTGTCATGGATGCCATCTAGCAGGCCGCAGGTGCCCAGGACTTAGTGGCATAGTTGGAAGTAGGGGTAGAGGAACAGCGTGTCTGCTGCTCCACATTCTGTAGCTCCCTCGTATCTAAGTTGGACTGAGGAAGACATCTAGTCCGATGCCGTCCCACCCACACCCTGGCCTCACACAGCCATTCCCTGCGGTCACGGCCTCCGCCTGGAACCCCGGCGGGCCCCCCTCCCTGCACTTCACTTCATCCCCCAGCCCTTCTGGCCACTGGCTCGCCCACTGTTCTCTTGTCGCTGGCCTCACCTCAGCCTCAGATCCAACCCCACCACGCCCCCGAGAGCCTGTTGAGGTCCCACTCTCCCCGGCAGTGCTGCCTTAGGGCTCCTAGTGACCCCGCCCAAGAGAACTTCCCCACTCTGACCACCCAGTTCCCCCGACACCCCTGAGGACTCCAGAGGGTGAAACCCCCTACCCCCACCCCCACCCGACGGTTGCAGCCCGCCTTCCTCCATGGCTTCCAAGAGCTAGGAGGCACCTGCTTGCGTGAACAGACGTGGACACCAGAGGTACCAGCCCCGCGCCTGGCCAAGAAAAGTGCCCAGAGGCAGAGCAGCCAAGAGTCAGGAGGCTGAGACTGCAGCGGCCCCTGAGGGACGGACGGGCAGGTAGGAAGGGCTTCGTAACCCCTGTCCAAACCCCTCATGGTACAGAGGAGGGAGGCCCACGCCAGGAAACCACAGGAGACTGAACCCAGGTATTTGGACCCCAGGCCCAGAGCTCTCCCGGACACCGGACAGCTTCCGAAGAGGACAGCTGGAGAGCAGCTGTGGGGCAGGGCGTGGGAAAAGAACCTTGGCCACCCAGGGGAGTCCCCAGTGAGTTAAGCGCAGGCCCCGTTCTCAAGCTCAAGCCCGTTCTGCCTGCGGCTTCGGAGAAGGGTTCCCAGGGAGCCGCCCCCGGCAAGTTGCTCAGACCGGCTCTACGCGCCCCGCGGCTCCTGGGGTATTTGCACAGACTGCCCTGCCTGAGCGCTCCTGCCTCACCTCAAAAGTAGCCAGGGGGCCGGGCGCAGTGGCTCAAGTCTGTAATCCCAGCACTTTGGGAGGCCGAGATGGGTGGATCACGAGGTCAGGAAATCGAGACCATCCTGGCTAACATGGTGAAACCCCGTCTCTACTAAAAAAAATACAAAAAACTAGCCAGGCGAGGTGGCGGGCGCCTGTAGTCCCAGCTGCTCGGGAGGCTGAGACAGGAGAATGGCGTGAACCTGGGAGGCGGAGCTTGTAGTGAGCTGAGATCCGGCCACTGCACTCCAGCCTGGGCGACAGCGCGAGACTCCGTCTCAAAAAAAAAAAGTGACCAGGGATACATCCCTAACCTGCCTCCCTCAAGCCGTGAGATACAAGCTGTCTCCAAGTCCCACAGATTGTCACTGGGACTTGACCCCAGTTGGGGTTTGGCGGCAGGCCTAATTCACTTCACAGCCCAACTCCTCTCTCTCACACAACCAGCCCAGACCGTGTTGAGCCCTGTGCCGAGACATTTCCTAGATGCCCTCCCCATAGGGGAGGGCTATCCCACTCCACACAGGCGGCTCCTCTCACTCTCCAGGGCACTAAAGCCCCACACAGAGGTCAACAGAAACCCCAGAGCATCCCAGGGTTGCAGCCTCGAGGCAGGGGGATCAGGCGGTGGACCCCTCCCCCTCACAGCAGCCACACTGCGTACTCTACATTAGCAGCTCAAAAGCTCAGACTTGAGAACAAATCTTTATTTTAGCAGCTTCACTAGCAAATAAGCGAATGCTCATGGCCAACCGGTCCTGCAGCAAAGCTAGACAGTCAAGTGCCCTCTGGGTCACAGTTGCCTCATGCTGTCCCCATTTAATAGAGGAACCCTGAGGTTTGCAGGGTTCAAGTGATTTCTCCATAGCCCATGTCCACCCACATCTGTCCTTTGCCATCTCTGCCAAGTCCCACTACCCCACAGCCTCTGCCCAGCACCTGAGACCCGTGTTCCCAGACTCAAACCCTGCGGCTCCTGCCCTTCTTCCAGCACGAAAGTAGCAACAGGAAGGAGGAAGGCCGAAGGCCACACACTGAGGACCGAAGGGTCCAGACTGGTCCTTACTAAGTTTTAAGAACCCCATGACCCTGCAAGGACAGTGCCTGGCCAGTGCCTTGATAAACAGCCAGACAGTGTGGGCCTTGGGGAACTTCTTGCCAGTAGCTGGGTCTACAAAGCTGCCAGACTCCAGACCTCCCCGCATGCGCTCCATGCCCCATCCAAGGGACCTGACAGAAGAGAAGGGACCTGACAGAACCTGGAGCCTCCAGCACCTGCAGGAGCCCAACAGGACACAGCCAGGGCAGCTGTGTCCTCAGGCTTGGGAACACCCTTCTGCCCCGACCACAAGAGGGGCCACAGTCACTTGAGGGGAAGGAAGATGCTTTTCCTGGTCCTGGGAAGGGACCCAGTCAAGTAGGCACCATGGAAGGGTGTGGGGAGCCGCTCATCCCAACCCTCTAAGAGTCAAAGTTAGGAGGTCTCGTGAGCTAGCCCAGGGCCCCAATCAAGACCTGAACCCAGCCTGGCTGGGGCCAGGCTCAGCAACAGGGCCTTACGTTCCTCTGAGTGTGGCCACAGACCCCTGGAGAGCATCGTCTAGACCTTGTTCCATGCAGATGCCCAGTGCCACCACCCAGGCCTGAGAAGCCACATGGTGATGGTTTGGCCCAGGAATCTGTATGTTTGACAATGCCTGCATCAGATGCTGTTGCACACTGAAATCCGAGAACCATAGCAGGGTAAAGGGCCTTGCTGATTTCTGCCCAGGAGCAGCTGATGCTGAAGGCCCCTGCAGAGCCAGCCTCCTTCCCTGCTGACTTGTCACCATGGGGGCAGGTCTGGGGTGCTTCTATGGGGCTGTCAGGGATCTAGAGCCACAAGTGTCCTGGGCCTGAACAGGATCCAAGGCAGAAAGGAGTAACAAGGTGCGGGACCCAAGAGACCAGCTTCCTCCCTACCTGGCGTTGGATGACTGACATCTCCCACCACCCTCTGTAAGCCTTGGAGGTTCTTGGGCAATTCAGAGATGGCAGCAGTCTCCACTCAGGAGGGAGGAAACCCTTGGCTTCCTGCTGATTGGTATGTGGGGGCCTCACATGATAGAAAAGGGAGGTCTGATGAAGTTTGTCCCCTAAGTTTGTGGTACAGATCACGCTGATTGCATTTGGCTCAAGAAAGGTGGCCTCCTCGCTAGATCTTATAGTGCTGGTGAATTTCTTCAGTGAAAGGGGAAAACAGTGGCACAGAGCACATGGATTATGAGGCTCCTTCACTTGTATTATTCCCACCCACCCATTATTACCTCCTGTTTTCACCTGAGAGTCCCACAGCCCAGGGGGTGGATAGATGCAGTCACCGCAAGAAGTGGGGGCAGACCTTCGATAAATCCAGGCCAGCGGACCCTCTGTGGGAGAAAGGAAAACGCACCCCCAAGTCTCCCAGGGCCCAGGCCTGGGCAACCAGCTGAGGTGTGAAGAGCTTCTGGCCAAATCATCAAATTAAAGTGTGCTCAGTACAAGGAAAATCACTGTATATTTCTGAAAAA